CTGAGAGTTGAAGAACGCCTGGAAAGAGTGAGAAATGAAAGAGGCAGTGAGCAGTCAGGACAAAGGGACACAGATGGGGGATGCTGTGTCAAAGTGTCTTAATTGGGGAACTTCAGGTAGCTAGTGTATCTTGACTGGTGTCCATTTACATATGATATACATCTATATTTCCTATAGCTATTTGTAGATTGTAGTGTTTATTTTTACAAAGTCTATTTTAGTTGGAATGATTTCGTATCTCTCTTTAATATCTCAGTACCTCCCAGGACTAACAGTGTCTTAGTTTTTCTGTACATATGAGGAGATAGATAAGTAATTCCAGGGCACAACCAGAAGTTAAACCTTTGCTTTAGAAACTGAAAAAAGCTAAGTCAAAAAAGACCTTCTTGCCTGTCATCTCCAGTTATTACTCTGATTAATGGTTAATGTGGAACAACCCTGGTTGAGGTGTCACAGGGACATTGCACTGATTGTTCTCCAAAGCTTCCATGAATATACCATAGACCATATTTTTCTGGGACATTCTAAGACAGCTAGAGATGGTGGATACAGCATCCATTAAAGTCTTTCAGTAGATTTATTGGGCCCTTCAAGTCTGATAGGACTGCGTAGTTCCCAAAGATGAAAGTACTGGGCCAAACTGTTGAAAATACTTTTTTATGCTCATTTACATAGAAACATATATTTTTTAAATGCACTTTAAAGGCAAAAACAAGCAAACAAACCAGTGGGGGGGGGCATTTACTGAACAGGAACAGCTGGTTCTGGGCTCTGATGTCAGTGGTATCTGTCCAAGAAGCTGGCTTTCCTGGGGAGGCTCCACAGACTGATGCACCGTGGAGTGGATGGAAATACTACTTATCACCAATAACTGGGGCAAATCCCCTTACCTCATCCAGCTTCATTTTCTTTAACTTTAGAATGAGGGAGATAGACCAAGTGATTTCTAAGGTCCCTTCTAGCTCTCATGCCTATGATCTTTCTCAAAGAGATGATTCTATAAGAGCCAGACCTACCTGTTAGTGAGGCCATTCAAAAAGGTGGCTTAGGTAAGAAAAAATGGGGGCTAATCCATGGATCTGCAGACCCCCTGCCCCCAAGAGTCTGTGGGTAGATTTCAAGCAGTCTGTGTACTTAGGTGGAAAAATAGATCATATCTTTATTTTCACTAACTTCTAACTGAAGTGGCTCTCCATCATTTCCAGGATCAATTATTAAATCTTCCATTTGTCATTCAAAGCCTTTCACAACCTGGCCCCCTCCGACCTTTCTACACTTTACTCTGTGATCCAGTGACACTGGTCTCCTTGCTGATCCTTATACAAGATGCTCCTCTCTAGACTCTAGGCCTTGTCTTTTCTTTTCTTTCTTCCTTTCTTTCTTTCTTCCTTTCTTCCTTTCTTCCTTTCTTTCTTTCTTTCTTTCTTTCTTTCTTTCTTTCTTTCTTTCTTTCTAAGGCAATTGGGGTTAAGTGACTTGCCCAGGGTCACACAGCTACTGAGTGTTATGTGCCTGAGGTCAAATTTGAACTCAGGTCCTCCTGACTCCAGGGCCGGCGCTCTATCCACTGCGCCACCTAGCTGCCCCGATTCTGGGCATTTTCACCTTCTCTCTCCCATTTCTGCAATGCTCACCCTCATCTCTGCCTCCTAACTTCCCTGACTTCCTTCAAGTCTCAGCTAAAATCTCAACTTCTATGAGATCTTTCCTGATTCCTTTTAACTGTAATGTCTTCTCTCTGTTGATTATTTCCAATTCATTATATGTGCATATATTTCGTTCATAAATAGTTTCCCTGACACGTTATCTCCCCCATTAGAGTTGTCCTTGGCGACACGGGATGACTTTAGCTTTTCTTAATATCTCTGGCGATTAGTACAGTCCTCAGCACATAGTAGGTGCTTAGTAAATGCTAATTGACTGAGTAAAGTTGAGCGATGCCCATATGGGCTAATGCAAAGTGAAATGTGCTGTGTACAAAGTAACAACAATATTGTAAGATGACCAGCTATGAATGACTAGCTATTCTCGGCAATACAACAATCCAAGACAACTCTGAAAGACTGATGGTGAAAAATGCTATCCATCTCCAGGGAAGGACCTGCTGGTATCTGAGTACTGGCTGAAGCATACTTTCTTCCTACTTTATTTTTCTTGAGATTTTTTTTGTCTGTTTTCTTTCACAACATGACTATTATGTATATGTTTTGCATGACTACACATATATAACCTGTATTGAGCTGCTTGCCTTCTCAATGAGGGAGGGTGGGGAGGTAACAAGGGAGAGAATTTGGAACTCAAAGTTTTATAAGCGAATGTTAAAAATTGTTTTTACATGTAACTGAGGAAAATAAATAATTTTTTTAAAGTTGAGCGTTTCCTTCAATTATTTAAGAACATTATTAGAGAAAGAATCTGTACATTTCACCGACTGCCAAAAGAGTCCATAATACAAAAAGACTGACCCCCTACTTTAATATGTTTGCTCTTTTAACACAAGTCAACACGTCAACAGTCATTTATTAAGTGCTTACTTTGTGCCAGCCGTTGTGCTAAGCAATAGAATCTCACTTTTTTTTGTGGGATGGTGGGAAGAAAAAAGTGAGATCAGTGGTAAGTGTCATTATGAGCTGAATGAATACTCCGATTATATTAACTAACTCCATTCCCCCCCCCACCACTTTAAATTTATTTTGGGTTGTCATTTAAATCACAAAAGGCAATCCAACCTCTTATTTTGCTATCAAGCATGACTGTTCAGCACTGAATACACTATTCCCAAATAAGACACAACTGAGATTAGTTCCAGGGCTGTATGAAGGTCTGGACTGTTCTTAAATATCACCAAATAGGTTAAATTAATTTGTAGTCCTACATATCAAAACCAAGGAGTATCATTTGCCTTGGACTATATCATTCCCATAAAATATTAGTGACATAATGAAGGCTATTATTTTTCACTACATCACTAGGACATGGTAGAAAGAACACTGAATTTATAATAAGAGAGCTTGAGTCATACCTGGGATATATACAAATATATATGTATATATCTACATATATATTATATAGAGAGAAAAAGAGATAGAGAGAGACAGAAAGAGGGACACAGAGACAGAGAGATAGTCTCTGTGTGGCCTTCAGCTAGTTGTATAAAATATCTGGTCCTTGATCTCCTGGTCTATAAAATCTTCATTTATTGAATTATTGAGTTAGATGGCTTAGAGGCTCTCTTCTAGCCTGAGAACAGTAATCCTATTATCTTTTTGATTTTTGACTAGTTCCCTTCTAATCTGTACTACACTGATCATTCAACATTTGTTCATTCAATAAACATTTACCATGTGCTAGGAACTAGGGATATAAGGCAAAAATGAAGCATCATAATTCATATGATGTATTATTATTATTGTTAAGTTTATGGTTACCTCCTTCCAATAATCAGTAAACAATGATAATAATAATAGTTCACGTTTACTCAGAATTTCAAGGTTTACAAAGGGCTTTACATACATTATCTCATTTGATATCTCATTATCTAATCCTATCAAGGGTACCAGGACCACAAAATTTAAAGCTGTGAGTTCTGGCAAAAAGACAAATAAAAAACGCACAAACAAATGAGTGGCAGAACTTCTAAAGATGAGCCTCTTGGAGTTTAACTAGTCTGGTCCTTGGATAAAAGACACTCAATCAGTTGCGGGGTTTGTATTTAAATTCTTCCTTGCTTGGTAGTTCTCATAGAGCTGTTCTAGCATATCCTTCTAAAACACAGGGTCACTTCTGCACCACTATGAGAATTGGAGAAGAAAATTAGTGTTTTTGTTGAACTACAAAAGAAACTACAAGAACTTGATGCAAAACTGGTCTGAAACCCCAGGAAAGGGCCTTTCAAGAGAAAAATCCATCGTGTTAGAAAGTGTTCTAATCTACTTTGGAAAATAAAACCAGAGTTAGACTAACAGTAATCGACAACTTTTAAGAATTAGTGAGAAATGTACCAAATTGTACTTCAAAGTTTATTTCTTTTAAATCTTGCTTTCCATGTATAGGATGTATAAATACAGTGTTCTTTGATGTTACTGAGTTTAGTCATTTTAATAGAAAATGGCATTTTTCTAGACAAGGTGTTGATATGTCATGGTTATGAATCTAGTGAGATAGAGCAGAGTCACCATAGAAATCTTAGACAAAGCACAAGTTTTATTTATTCAATCATGGACCACCTAAGGATTTATATTGTTCATCTGGTGGCACCTTCCCTGATTTAAGGCAAAGGAATTAGGAAAAACTAAATTGCTTCATGAGTACTTAACTTGAAAGCCTACAATAAGGGTAGCTGATGTCACAATTCACCCTTTTCTTAAAAGCACCCCAGTGACCAAGCTATCATATCATACCATTAAAAAAATAATAGCTAACATCTATATAGTATTTTAAGATTTACAAATCATTTTACATGTTATCTCATTTGGTCTTTACAACAATCCTCTGAAGTAGGTGCTGTTATTATCCTCATTTCTACAGATGAGGAAACTGAGGCAAAAAAGAGGTTAAGTAGTTTGTCCAGGGTCACACAGCTAGTAAGTGTCTTAGGTTGGATTTAAACTCAGGTGTTTATGATTCCAAATCTAGCACCCCATCTTTTGCACCATCTAGTTGCCCCCACACTTCTAAAAGTTGCTTATAGAAGGATTCTGTGCTGATGTTTCTGATGCTTTCAGGAAGTAATTTCCAAAAAACTCTAAAATTTTAAGACTTATCCATCCATTTTTTAAAAGAAGCAACTAATAGATAAAGCAAAACATATCAATACATTCAGGGAGAAAATATTGTTATAAGAAATCAATGTCCTAACAACGAGCTCCAAACAAGTTATAATCTTCCCATACTGAGAATATATACTGTTGTTGGCCCATCATCCTCAAATAATCAGGCATGTATCATGAAATCCAGTCACAATGTGAAGAACCTGTAATAAGAAAGCAATACATACTTACCTCCTCCATAAGTCTGACACAAGTATGGAAATCTCCATATATTTCCCAACCCTACAGCAAATCCAATACAGCTTAAAATGTACTGAAATTTGTTGTCCCATTTGGGTCGCTCATCATCCTTAGAATCCCCTGGAAGCGTATCTGTTGCCAGAACGCTGGACATCATTGCCATTGTCACTGAGGAGGTCCTCTGCTGTGGGCCTGCTTTGGCTTTGAACGATCCTGACTGAAGGCAGGGCTGGGTGTATCCACCCAGGGCCAGCTTGTGCAAAAGAACAAATGGGACAGCAGGTAGTAGAGATGCTGCAGTGGCTACAAAATGCACCCTTTGTTGAATTTCATCTGTTTAAATAAATAAATAAAGTACAGTTAATTGGTAACTTATAGCTGAATTCTTGTTTTAATTTCAGAAAAGTCTTTCTGACCTCTAAGTCTTCAAGCGCATTTACCTAGGTTCTATGTCCTGTGTCCAACAGAAACAGCCTTAAACTAACCATGGATAGGATGAGGACCCTTTCTATTGTTGCATTTTCTAAATGAAGGATATCCCAGAATACTCAAGATGAATGAATGAGTGAATGAATGGATGAATGAATGAATAAATGAAAAAGCATTTATTAAGCAATAACTATATCCAAGCACTGTGCTAAGTGCTGGAGATACAAATATAAAAGTGAGACAGTCCTTTCCTTCAAGAATCTAACACTTTAATAAAGGGGGACAACATATATAGGTGAGAGGTGGTCAGGAAGAGGGGAAGGGACAGATGGTTTGAGTAGTCACAAAGATGGTAAATAGAATTATAAGGGAGCTGACTTTCATGCTTCTTCTGGAAGCAGTAAAAGTAAAAAACCCAATGTAATAATGATTCTACAGCTAGAAAGTATGTGCTGGGATGAGGGTCAGGGTAGTGAGATGGATGGCAAAATCCAATGGTCTCTCTAGAGGGTATATTGGGCCTGGCAGATGACAAAAAAAATTGCCAGGGTGTAATGTGCAAATGGCTGGGGCTGGTTAGATACAGTGGACTAAGTAATACACTTAGCAGTTAGTACAATGCAGACTCCAGGGTCGGAGTTCCAGTGTTGAGAGGGTTCGGTCCATGAGGACAGCTCAGCAGCGAGGTGGATGGCAAAGTTCTGTTATCCAATGGGTAGAATGATAGGGAGGGTGAAGGTTATAGTCAAGCGGTGTTCCATAGAATAGCTCATAGAGTAGTCTCTAGCAATGGAGATTGTGAAGAGATTTTCACCCTTTTCATGGCTTTAACTGTGATCTCATCAATATAGGCATTCCTCCAACTATATAAATCACAACCCAGTCATTTTCGACCATTCTTTGGGACTCTCCTCCATGTCATCCCATAAATTTACCACAGGGTTCCAAATGCTGGGGGTCTTGCTCATGTTCTTTTGACATTTCAAAGGCACCTATGGAACATGCGAGCTGTCCATCAGTAGTCTTCTCTGTAAGGGAGCGCTCCAACGTCCCTCTCAGCTGGCTCCATTGTATACAGAAAGGACAGAAAGGTGGTTATGGACATAGCAAAGACTCTGACCTTGCTGCCTGGGTATAATTTGCTTCTCTGTCTGTTTCTTCACCCACTCACTTGCATGGGAGAATAGAAGGCATTTAGGGTATGAAAAAGGGGGAACTCCAAACCCCAGTGCTATGCAATAGCTATTATTGTGTTTATAGTTTAACTTTCAGAGACTAAAATTTTGGAAAGCGTGTGGAACACTCCCTGTAGGTTAGGGTGAGGTCTTGACAAAGGGAACCAATTAATGGAGCAAGAAAACCCAAAACCAAAAACTGTACCGAAGAGCACTAGCCAGTTGGAACAACTCTGCTCTTTTTTCTAATGAGTTCAGTTCCAGAGGCTAAAGATGAGAAGCCTTGGTAGCCAAGACTCTGAGGGAACAAGACAAAGGAGAGTTTTTGTAAGTCTTCTAAGTAATCAACAGCTGGGTGGCTCAGCGGATAGAGTGCTGGGCTGGGAGTCAGGAAGACTCCTGAAAGTTCAAATCTGGCCTTGGACACTTTCTAGCTGTATGATGCTGGGCAAGTCACTTGACCCTGTTTGCCTCAGTTTTCTCATCTGTAAAATGAGTGAAAATCCCAAAAAGTTGGAGACAGCTCAACGACATCAAAACTAGAACAGCGATTTCTTGCCTTTTCTAAAAGAGCTAGAAAAGCCCATAGGTTTTATGTAAGCTAAAAGAGCATGAAAGCATCTTTTTTTTTTTCATGAAGAAGAGCTAGAGGAGCGTTCCACAGGGGCCAGGAGCTGGAGGGGGTGGAGGCTGTAGTCAAGCAGTGTCCATAGACACTACAAATCCCTCCGTTGCCTCTAGCAATGGAGACGATGAGTCCAACACAGACCGAAGCAGTGTGGTAACATTACTAGCAGACATCAGCAGCCCAGCAATGCCAGAGAAGGGAACTGCCTGTCTACACATGTGCCTTGGCCACACAGGTTCCTTAAGGTTGTGTTGCTTCATACATGTGCCAGCCTGTCCACATGTCCTCTCTGCGTGTTTCCCTACACATGCACACTCTTGCCAATAATGCTGTATGTACTTGTGGGAGAATGCACCCCAGGTTTAAGGAGGGAATTGTCACTAATTTTCTTACTGTGTGCCATTTCACTAGATACCTGGAGAAAGTCTGTAAACCACATGGATGGGTCCGCTAGAAATTTATTGCATAATCTCACCTGGATTCTCACTGTAGTATGGCAATCCTTTTGAATTTCCTTTATTGATTCATTATTGAGCTTACCACAGTATCTTTTCATCCCCTCTCAAACCACCCACGGCAATCTTTCCCTCATTCTAACAGCTTTACTCCCCTCATACTTCACAGGAAAAAAATGAGGCCATTCAATGAGAGCTCTTTTTTCCTGCTTTCCTCCTCATTTCACATCACTCAGATGCCTTCCTCCACTGTCTTTGATCTCTGTCTCACAAGGTGGACCCTCCTCTTGCCAAGGCAAACACCTCTATGTGAAAGAAGCTGGAGTAAGGAAGACCTGAGTTCAAATCCAATTTCAGATACTTCCTAGTTATATGACCTCGGGCAAGTCGCTTAACCTCTGTCTACCTTAGTTTTCTCAACTGTAAAGTGGGCATAATAATAGCACCTACTCCAGAGATTTGTCGTGAGGATCAAGTGAGCTAACATTTTTTTAAGTGACTGCACAGTGACTGGTTCAAAGTAGCTGCTTAATAAATGCTTGTTTGTTCCCACACCCCATCCCATCTTCTCCAGAAGATTGCTCCCAATACCATCCTTACTCTTTTAATTTTCAGACTCTCCCTACCTATTAGTTAGATATGTGTGTAGTTATTTTCATGTTGTCTTCCCCATTGGACTGTGGGCTCCTCGAAAGCAGAGACTCTACTTTTTGCTTTTTTTGCATCTTCAATGCTTACCACAATGTCTAGTATACAGCACATGCTTAATAAGTTATTGCTGACAAATTGACTGAACCTGCTATTTGGGGTTTGCCTCCAGGGCCCCCTATCTTGCTTCTTCGTGTGGCCAGTCCTTCCTATTTTTAGCTCCTACATTTGCTTGATCACTACTTCTCTTGGGCAACTCCTTATTCATAACACACCATAACCTGCTCAAAACCACTGTATTCCTCCCTCTTTTTCATAGATCATGTTTAGTGTTCCATAGCTTGCAGTCATACAACATCATCAGAAAGAAGACAAGTTTAAAGAAGAAGAACCTTTGTTTTGGTGGAGAAACTGGATAATTAAAATCTCCCAAAGACTCTATAGCCCATTCTCCTCTTTCTGTCCAGTTCTGGACCCAATTACTTGTCTATCTGCAGTGCTTATCAGATATGTATTAATGGACAGGTTCAATAGATTGTCCAATCCACTGCCTATAATAGAGTGCAAAATTGCCATCCTTTGTCACCACCATTACATCTAATTCAATAAATATGAAGTAAACCTGTGATCTATGTAAAACCTCTCCACTCAAGTCCTACTCCAATGTCTCACTGTGGCATAAAAGTGACTGTGGGTATTTTAGGATTATGTCAGCTGAACTCAAGTTTTGAGCTAAGCCAGAAAGACTTCAAGTAAGGGCCTGCTGAAACACAATGAAGTTGGCATCTGAGATTCATCCTTGTCACATTCAGATTATCAGCAGAATGTTTGCCACCAGGTAGTGATTTTTTTTTCCTTCTCTCTGTCTCTCACTCTCTTTCTGTCTCTGTCTTTTTTCAGTCTGTCTCATCTTAGTAAACTACTTACTAAGGCATGGTAAGATTGTGATTTGCATTGGTAGAGGAAATATCATCCTAGCACGAGAACAGTGCCTGACAGTAGTAGGGGCTTAATAAATGCTTGTTTAATTGTGAAATATTGAAGCCCATGTGAGCCACTGTGCTATGAACTAAGGATACAAAGTTGTTGTTTTTTTTAAATAGCATAGTCCCTGCCCTCTGGGAGTTTATAAAAACTTCTGCAGGAGAACTTTCATAGGAGGTAGGCACAATTTTTTTGTTTTCATCAAACTGAACATCAATGCATGCTGCTATGAAGGGCAGGGAAGAGGGGGAGAGGACATGAACCAGTCTTATCATTAGCAAAAAGAAAGATTTCCCAGAAGTCTCAGCTATAGTTCTTTTTCTTTTTTGAACTAAGATACAATCTATTTTTTAAACATATTTCCATACTAGTCATGTTGTGAAAGAAGCACCAGAACAAAAGGGAAAAACCACGAGAAAGAAAAAACAAAAAAACAACAAAAGAAAGAGAAAATAATATGCTTCAATCTGTATTCAGACTCCATAGTCCTTTTTCTGGATGTGGATAGCATTTTCCATCATGAGTCTATTGGAATTGTCTTAGATCATTGCATTGCTCAGAAGAGCTAAGTCTAACAAAGTTGGTCATAGCACAATGTTGCTCAGCAATAAACATGTGTTGTGGTTGGTTTTGTGAGATAAGCATTGATCCAAATTTTTTCCTCAATGGTTAGGCACTTAAGGGATTTTACTACTGCTCATCATAGCCAACAGGGGTCCAGTTGTGTGTCTACAACCACTACAGCAATGTGGTATGTGTATATGTTGGGGGGGAGGGGAGGGAGAATACGTGTGTGTCACTGGGGACTGGAAAGTGGGATGCAGTGAAAGAACATTAGATGGTGGTGGGTATGTGAACAACTTGTCCCTTTACGAACTAAAAGTGTCTCATACCTGCCTTGATTAAAAATCAGTATTTAATTTGACATGTGTTGTGACTTTGTTCATACTAGTCATGTCCTTAGAACAGTTAAGGAATCTTCTAACCAAAGCTGTGCCATGGGCTCTGAGCTTTCATTTTTGGCTAACCCCCTGAGTCCATTTCCCCTCTAACCTCCATTTTTCAACTATATTGGTCACATTTCCAAACTAACTAGGCCATAGGATGTACAGGAACATTAAAAAATGTGTGCGTGTGTATATATGCACATGTGTACGCACATATATGTGCATGTGTGCATGTACATATATGTGTGCGTGTATGTGTGTAGAGTGGAAGGGGAGAAAAGAAGTTGAGAAGAGCTTCATGTTATATACTAACAGATAGTTTTCTGCAACAATTCTATTTGCTTTAAAAAGATTCAAGGTCCTTGTCCAATGTTTTTTTCCTTTTAATTTCTTAAAATTGTTCCCCCCCCAACCAAATCATCTCCATCTACTTCTATGGCTCTCCATATCCTAGCCTAGGATAATACAGGTACCTGCTTTTAACAAAAATGCGTAGGTTGAGTTATACAATCCCACACCTGGTTGAAAAGTGAAAGAATTAGTACAAACCAGTTATTTGTTGACTTATTCCCTGTCAGCTCTTCAAGCGTCACATAGATCAGGTTTTAGAATTTCCCATATATTTCTTCATGAAGGTAAAACCAAAAAGGGAAAGAAAGAAGAGGAAATTGTAGACCTGGAAAAGATCTTAGAATTCATCTCTAGGTGGCACGGTGAATAGAGCACTGGGTCTGGAGTCAGGAATACCCGTGTTCAAATCTGGCCTCAGACATTTATTACTTCCGGTGTGAGCCTGGGCAAGTCACTTAACCTCTGTTTATCTAGGTCTCCTCAACTGTAAAATGAGGGTGATAATTGCACCTACCTCTCGGGATTGTTGGGAGGATCAAATGAGATAATATTTGTAAGTCACTTAGCACAATACTAGTGCGTAGTAGATACTATATAAATGTTTATTCCTCACTTACCCCTCACTTCATCCAGGCCAACCCCCTCATTTGACAGTGAGAAAACTGAGGCCCAGAGAGCATATTTTTCTTTTTGTTGTTGAGTTGTTTCAGTTGCATCCAACTCTCTGTGACCCCGTTTTAGCCAAGATATTGGAGGGGTTTGCCATTTCCTTCTCCAGCTCATTTTACAGATGAGGAACTGAAGCAAACAGGGCTAATCGACTTGCCCAAGGTCACTTAGCTAGTAAGTGTCTGAGGTCAGATTTGAACACAGGAAGATTAGTCTTCCTGATTCCAGACCCAGAACACTGTGCAGTATGGCACCACCTAGCTGCCCTTAGAGAGCATTTAGAGCAGCACAATCAGGATAAGGAAGACCCTTCGATCTAATGTTGCATGAGGACAGGTTGTAGGAAATGGTGATGTTCAGTTTGCAGAAGACTGGAGAGTTGGGGGAGAAAGGGGGCATGCCAGCTGTCTCCAAGCTCTCATGGGAGGGAGGGCTTAGACTTGTTCTTTGGACCCATAAAAGAGCAATGGGGACCAGTTGCAAGATGCAAATCTAGATTGGAAGTTGGGAAAAGCGTCTTAATGACCAGAACCAGCCGGAAGTGGTGGTGAGTTTCCCTTCATTGGAGGTCTTCAAGCAGAAGCTGAATGACCATTTGTAGGTTATAAAATGGTAGGAATTTTTTAAAAGTAGTGCACAGATTGGACCAGCTGGACACCAAGGTCCCTTCCAACTCTCCATTCAGTAAATAAATCAGATAATACTTATAAAGCACTTTTCAAACCTTCAAGCTCCATATATGTGCTACATAGTGTTATTGTCATTATCACCATTACCACCTCTGTGAAGTGTCTTGCTCAAGGTCTCAGATGTAGTAAGCAAGAGAGTTGGGATTAAAACCCAGGTATTTTCCATTACAGCACAGAACAAGTTCTTTTTAGATCTATGGTCTGATTTCCTCTTGGTCTGCCAAGGCCTCAACTTGATTTTGTCTGTTTTGCATTAGAAAACTATATTTAAACAAATACATATTAAAGAAGTCATTTATTCCAACATATATATGTTTATGCATATAAAAGACAAGGTTTGGTTTTTTTACACATATACAAGAAAACAAGTATGTCATTTACAAATTTAGAAATATGCCAGGCTATGATTCCGGTTTCATTATCTAGGCTACATCTGGTACAACTGGCAATCTTTAGCAGTGACAGCATTTAACTCCCTGGGAAGTGATAATGATTAGTAAGGATGGATGTGCCAAGAATTTTTCAGAAGTTTCATATATAGTTACTGAGAGCAAGAAGCATAGTGTGCAGGTGGGTCAATTACAGTGTGCTGGTTCTTTCTTTCTTTTTTTTTTTTAAATCAATGGCAGGCCTAAAAGGCTTGGAGAAGAGCATATAAAAAGTATCATTGAATCTACACGAATATGAGGAGCTGGACACAGTAAAGTGGCATCAGGATAATGCAGAGCAGGCACAGGCTCACCATGGGGAGATCTGTATTTGAGTCCTGGCTATGCCATTACTAGCTGTGACCTTGGACAAAATATTTTACCTCTCTGTGTCTCAGTGTCCCCATCTGCAAAATGAGAAGGTTGGACCAGTTGATCTCTAGAATTCCTTCCAGGGTTACCTGTCTAGAATTCTGTGGATATGGACATCCTTTCTTCTTTTAAAAGTCATAAACCATACCATTAAAAAAAATGTAATTTCTCCTTTAGGAACCATTGGCCCTTGGAATGATGACTTAAAGAATTAATATCAGGTTTTTGAAATGTTCTCATGGTTGTTGCAATACACTATTACAGAGACTTTAAATTTTTGCTCACTAGCTCAATGATGCAGATGGGAAATTTGAAGTGGTGAGAACCTTAACTGCTAGATGATCTTTCACAAACCCTCTCCATTTGATTCATTGTGGCCACCACCACCACTGCCACCACAGCCACCACCACCACAGCTGCCACTGCCGCCACCACCACCACCACAGCCACTATGCCCAGAACTTTTATGAGTGTAAATACGGAAGCTATTCCAACTTCTCTCTCACTTGCCTCCAATAAATACATGGAAGACCCAGTGGAGAGAAGGAAGCTACTAACTCCAGGTGTTGACAACCATACCCTCCCCAAAATACTATGCCTCTGAACAATGGGTATTTTCAGATATTTACACTTCATTTAAACAGCTTCTAGATTTCTTAGGGAATAAATTGATGTGGTCAGTTAGAATAAAAAGCAAATAGCTTGTTAAAACCATCACTCAAAATACCAATCCACTTGGATACATATTGGGTGCTAGTTTTAGAGAGAAAATGCATCTTAAGTCACTGAGAAAGTAGGTCAGGTGTTCATGGTACTAGTGGGTTGAGTCAGAGGCCGAGTTAGTATATAACCCTTCTTTCTTCCAAAGGTAACCTGGCTAAAAATTCACATGAAATTACTCATTACAAATATGTTAATGTTCCCTTAGTCAACTCTAAGGGCACATTCCTCCTTGCCTCCTGGGAAGGGAGGCATTACTTAATTGTTTATCAATTTGTGACAGCTAGCAATGGTGATTAAGTGTAGTTAATGTCCAGTCAGTCAAAGAGTTGTAAACAAACTCAGGAACTTGGGGGGAGGGAAGAGGGGATATTTGGAACTGCAAAACTTGCACAAACACATTGGTAGTACTGCCAATCTCTGATTATTTCTAGATAATGACCCTGGAATCGAGGTCCCAGGGTGGTCCAGTTCTTAGGCCTAGTGCCACTCTTTCTGCAGAAGATTTTTTTCAGCATGAAGGAACACAGAGAAAATGAATTTGATTTCTTCTGCTTGACACCAGAGAACAGAACCAGGAGCAATAGGTGGGAGATGGAAAAAGATACACTTTGGCTCGATGTAAGGAAAAACTTCCTGACAACCGGAAGTCTCCCAACACGGCTTGACTGCCTCAGGAAGTGGCGAGTTTCCCTGCCTGGATATCTTCAGAAGCAGAATCTAGAGCACCACTCATCCAGAATGCCATTGAGGGAATTCTTGGTTCAGGATAGACTGGATGAGATGGCCTCAGAAGTCATGCTTGGGAACGCTGAGATTCTGTGCTTCAGGGTCAATGTCTCTCTGTGGGAAAAGCTTTCCTCTTAAAATCTTATGGAAGTTTCGCTATTAACAGGTCCCTCCCACAAACAGAAAGGGGGTACGTGTAGAAATCGAGAATAGAGGTGTTCAATGTTTCCTCCCATCTCCCTAGCAGTCCAAAAGCAAACTAAGTCCAGCAGCCTCAGCATCACTACATTTCAGTCACAGGACATTTCAATGATGTTCACCTCAGAATATCACAACATACGTGGTTATACAGGACTTTGTATCCCCAGCACCTAGCACAATACCTGGTATTGAGCAGGCATGCTGGTCAAATTAAATTGAATAGTGGCAATCCCTTCAGTTCCTAGCGCGGAGAGACCTCCAGTTTGTAAGGCACACAAGAATTCCCATTTGTCACCCAGACTGGAGGCTCATCCCCAGCTAGGTTGGCACCATGAGGGTCTAGTCATTCCAATGTGCCTGCTGTTGCTTTTTTTCTTTTCCCTTTCCAATCAAGAGCCTGTCCCCACTTCCCTGAGAAGCATGCTGCGGCTTAATTCTTTAGCTCTCCATTCACAGAGGGAACAGAATAGGCATTGATGAGCCCTTGCTGGTCATGCTTCCTTTGATAGAGATTCCTGATGAACTTGTAGAGGGCAAAGAAGGGGATGACGAGGCATGGGACTCCAGCCACAAAAACCACAACAGCATAGGTCCAGCCAGGATAGGCCTTTTGCTCTGATTCAGGAAAGTGCTCCTGGGAAGGTAAACACAACCCATGGTCAAGTCAGACAATTATGCTCATGATACAATAGATGCAGAACTAGGCTTTCCAAAATTAATCATGGGGAGGAAAGGAACCCCCCCCTTTGCCCTGCTCCTCCTTTTTTCTCCTCCCAGGTCTTCCTGAATCAGAAGGGAGAGAGCAGCCTCCCTTCATATGCAGATGGGCTTCCCTATGTCCTGGCCCTTGGGTAGTGTGTGGGGCCTTCCCCAACAAGCCAGCATAGGCATATTTCTATGTACTTACATATGCAGGGTCCCAGACACTGTATACCAGCTCCTCATTGATTTTTGTCACAAAATAGAATAGGAATATAACTAACATGATAAGAGGACTGATTACTCTCCAGGTGATCTGCCAGAAGATATTTGGCTTATGACCAACCATAAACTCAATATCCTTATTAAACCTAGAAAAAAGACCAAGCGGAGAAAATTACCTCATTAATAAAACAAAATGAAAATCTGTCTTTCCCCTTAAGGTGCTAACATTCTACTGAGTTTAGATAATATAAGGGAGGTTTTCTTAAAGTGGGGCAACCCTTTACTGAGTGCATAGACCTCCATTACAACATAGCTTTGATGTAGGTCTATCATTACTACAAATAGGAAAAGAAAGCCTTAGTCCTGCCTACCCATTGAAGTTCTTCAGGATCCTATTTAGAAATCATCTGCCTCTGAGGTCATCTATAATTACTCAGTAAGGCCTTAGTTCAAGTCTTTCTTCAGATATTTATTAGCTGTGTGACCTTGGGCAGGTCACTTAACCTCTGTTTGCCTCAGTTTCCTCATCTCTAAAATGAGGATGATAATAATAGCGCCTACCTTCCAGGGTTGTGAGGAACAAATGAGATAATATTTGTAAACCATTTAGCATGGTGCCTGGCATATAGTAGACACACAATAAATGCTTATTCTCCTCCTTCTCCCCCTCTCATTCAGAAGTGTCCTCTCTTTCTTCAGATTTCCTATAGCATTTAGCTTGTACTATGTCTGTAGGACTTACCACATACTACTTTATCTTGAACGTGTCATTTCACATTTTTTAATATGCCATGTAATATGTAATATATAATATATAATTCTTCCCACTAGAAGCCTCTTGGAAACAGGGAATGTATAGTGGATACCTTTCAGTCTCCACCAACATGCAAAACAGTGCCTTCAACACAGAGTGTTTGAATCAAGTCTTCCCTCCTTAATCCAATGCCTCTGCCTCCTGGATCCTTAGTTTCTTTCAAGGTTTTTCTCAAGTGCTACCTCCTACCAGAGGCCTTCCCTGTCCCACTCCATTGTTAGTACTCTCCTCCTACCCTTCCTAATTACTACATACACATTTTCTACTTACTTATCTGTATGTATATATATAATCTCTTCCCAGGAGAATGTAAATTCCTGTTTTATTTTTGTCCTTCTATCTCTAATGCCCGACCTGCTTTCTGGCACATAGGAGGTACAACAATACTTCTTGAATTGTTGAATTATCTTTTAGCGATTTCTGTTGTCCCTTAAGCTTCTTGAATTTGTGAGTGAACTAGACACATTTGTAGACTCATAGGCATTGAATTTTCTTGGGAACTTACTTTATCTCTTTCTAATTTTACTTTAATTTAAAATAGAAATTCTTAGCCTGAGGTCTATGAACTTTTTTAAAAATTAGTTTTGATAACTATATTTTACTCTAATTGGTTTCCTTTCTAATTCTATACATTTTAGTTTATGCATTTCAAAGCATCATTCTGGGAAGGAGTCCATATGTTTTAGCAGACTGTTAAAGTGGTCCCTAACACAAAAAAACTTTTGATTTAAAGTTTCCTTTGGCGTTCCACCATGCTCTCATACACCAGAAGGCATTGTGATTCTGACATTATCCACCAGGGAGCAGGCTGCCCAAGCTTCTGATTTCATCCTCTTGCTCTAATTCTCTTACATTTTTTTTTTATTTGCCTCTTTTAAACATCTCCTTCAGAAGTCCACTTTTATATAAGCCTACCTGTCCACTCCATAAATGTAAACCACTGAAAACATCTCACAAAAGGCAATGACCAGCAGGGGGATGGATCCAGCATAACCATCTAGCAGAGAGAGCCAGTACTGTCCCGAGTTCAGAGTGAAAATGAAGGCAAGGAGGTACATCCCCAAACAAATCAGACCTGCAGCGTGAACAAAGAACAGGCCGACAGGTTATGTTGGATAAGTAAAACAGAATGAAATTCCAGGTCAGCTCAGACAGCAGGCTTCAAGTAACCTGGCGGGTAAAGATGGTAGGCTTCCCAGCCCTGAAGTTACTGATTTTGTTTTTGAAACCTCCTGTTTTACCTGAAATGACCCTCGCTCTGCCTTCCATCTGAGGAGGAACTTTATAAATTACGTTTGTTGGAAAGAACATTTTGTGAGCCAGCCTTAATGAATGGGCAATGAACAATGTCGAGGCAATGAATGACTGGCGATGTTTGCTCATTTGTGAATGGATTTAAGATAGAGTAATTCCTATGAGATAAAATCAGTTGTAAACATTGGCTACACAGGCAGAACTACTTCATCCCCAAGCAGACCCACCTTAGACTAGTACCCTGTGATCAAATGGGATCATGAATGAAGAATACTTTGCAGACTTTAATGTGATTCATGTGTCAACTATTACAATTATTATTATTGTCAAGAATTGTGATTTCATTGGACCGGGGAACTCCTTCTACCAATGCAGGTCAGCCCAACTTCTACAATTTGGAGAGTCGCCTGGGCTATGAGAGGTTAAGTGATTTCCCCAGGGTCACACAGCCTGTATGTATAAGAGCTGGGATTTGAACTCAGCTCTTCTGACTGACTGAGGCCAGTTCTCTATCTCCTATGCTATTCCCTTCTGGGCTGTGCTTCTGACTCCATATTTCACTAGGTAACTCAGTGGCCTTCTCACTGTGGAGCTTCTCTCAGTGCCTAGGACCTTTTCACCCTTTTAGGAGTTGTCTTTCTCCATTAGAATGTAAACTCCTTGAGGGCGGGGCTGCCTTTCTTTTTGCCTTTCTTTGTATCCTCAGGGCTTAGTACAGTGCCAAGTAAATAGTAAGCTCTTTAAAAATGGCTGTTAATTAGATTATTATTATTAATAATAAACTTCCATTTATACAGCTGATGTCTGTGGGGAAATGGAGGCTTTGAATTGTCATTCAAATTTTATTGAAAAGGAATCCTACTGTGAATCCTTGGACACAATGAATGCTTTGGTGATGCATGCAGATAGTAAGCTTTCAGTTGTTTGGTAAATGCAGTTTTCATAGGGGCAGCTAGGTGGTGCAATGGATAGAAGTGCCTGGCCTGGAGTCAGGAAAACTCATCTTCCTGAGTTCAAATCTGGCCTCAGACACTTACTGGTTGTGTAACTCTGGGCAAGTCACTTAACCCTCTTTACTTCAGTTTCCTCATCTGTAAAAATGAGTTGGAGAAGGAAATGATTAACCATTCCAGTATTTTTGCCAAGAAAAACCCAAAAGGAGTCACAAAGAGTCAAACATAACTGAAAAAATGACTCAACGTCAACAATTGTCATAGGTTGGGTGTTTTGTTTTGTTTTGTTTTACAGACAGGAACACCTTAACAAGAGAAGAAACTCATTATAATACAACCACTGTATACAACAGGGCATAGATGAGAGAGCTGTTCTTGAAGCTAAGAAGACCTGGATCGAAGGCCTGCCTCTGACACACACTGCCTGCATAACACTAGTCAAGGTCATTGCCTTCCCAGGGCTCTAAGCAGCTCTCTAGGACTATTAGTTGCAGAGAAGGTGCTGATCTGAATTGGTAGAAGGAATTTCTTTCCCTGGGAGCTACCTGTACCAGTGACACCCCAGGTCTAGTCCTTTCCCCCTGGTACATATAACAGTGAGCTGGTCCATGACAAATATTACGCTTGTCCCACCACCAGGAGCATTATAAAGGATTCCACTGGAGATGATTCTGGTAACAAACATTTAAAGATGGCGCATACCTGTTATAAGGTCCTTGGGCCATTTTTCAGGGAGCATCTTGAGATCCAACAGGGGAACAACTACACCTTCCGTATTCCCAAACATAGATGATAAACCCAAGCAGAACAGCATTAAGAAGAAGAGGACAGACCACAGAGGTGAAAGTGGCATTTTGGTGATGGCTTCAGTGAAGACAATGAAGGCTAAACCAGTTCCCTCTACTCCCTGTAGGACAAAAAGATTCATATAGTAAGTCTATTTTATTAAGCATATGTCAATTGTACAGTGATTTGAGTCTTCTGAAATACCAGAGCTATCCTTTTCTTTTCTCCTCTCTCTAAGCTCTATTCCTCCAAATCCTCAAATCCTTAAAATAAAATCTTTACTATAGATATTCTAGAATGAAATTGATCTATAATCAAGCACAAATTTAAATATTTTTGTATTTTTCCTTTGTGTGGTTTCAATGCAGCAAGGAATAGAGTGAAGTTTTGGTAAAATACGATTTATTTGATCCACACCTAGGACTGGGGAAACTCACTCACACAGGGTCTCCAGAAAAGCTATCCTTAACTCATGGCACTCTATGGGTCAGCTCCCACTGAAAACCATAGTTCTCAGGTCCTCATCAATGTTCTTACTTTTACTAGCCTGCCAGAAGATAAATTAGTTAACAAACAAAAACAATTTGATGAAACAACATAGCAAGTCAAACTACAGGAAAAGATCCCCCCCCAACCCCAATATGGGGTACACCATCACATAGATTGCCTTATCACTGGTAGAGAAGGGCACACATCTGAGAACATGTGCAGCCTGGGAAAAAAGAGGTGACATGCAAAAGAGATACACCATGTAGCCAGAAAACGTGTATGAAAATTCACATGCCAGAAGCTTGTTTTCTGATCTCCCTGCACACGAAAAGGACAAACTAGATAATTTAGGACTCAGGTTTTTTTTTTCAGTTTTTAGGTTTTTTTAAGTTAATTCTTCCTTTCTGAGTCTCAACACCCACCTAATTAATCAGATTAACGGCTGCTTCTCCATCAAGCGTGGCCTATTAATTTCCTTTGCATTGTTATGACATTCTTCTAGAATGCTATCCATCCAGAGGTCTAAGATCATTGAGTTGGAAGGAATCTTGGACATATTTTGGGATAACCTCCTCCTTCAATGGAGGAAGAAACTGAAATCCTGAGACAACCTATCACAGGTTGAACAGGTAATGAGTGGCAAAACCAAGATTCAGTAACAGGCCTTTTAATTTTGAGTCCTGTGCTCTTTCCAGCATGCCACACTGTGGCTTTAATGGATCATTCAATATACCTTCTATTTACTGATTGTAATCTGTCCCCATACTAGTTCCCATCCCCCAACTCATTTACCAAAATTTATGTGATTCAAGTTAGCAAAAGTTTTTATTAACCCTAGTACTACAAGTATTAAAAACTGGTGTAGGAGAAGTGAAATGACTTGAAAGATATAAATGAATATTTAAGCAAGATTAAATCTTTGTTAGCAGAACATGAAGCATCAGAACATACCAATTGAATGACAGTATTATATAGCTCCCAGTTAACGCACATTTAGAGCAGTGTTACTTCCGTATGCTCATATTATATAAACAGACGTGGTACGATAATAACAACTGATGTTTTGTATGGATAGATAAGTGGTAATTGGTAAACTGTTTAACATTCATTCACGAACATTCCTGCTCTTGGACCAGCTCTTAACTTTTGTCATTCTGGTGGCTGGAAGAAGGGAGAGGAAGGAAGGTTTGGATTGAGCCTGGGGTCTGAGCAGAAGTCAGTGGCTCCCAGAAATGACCTTTTGAAACTTACCAGGAATGATCACAGGGAGTTGAGCTGCTGACATGCACAAAAGAGGTCATTTTAAGACATCTTTTTTAACAGGCTCATGAAAATATTGTAGTAAATCCTAGTGTCACAGCAATGAGCCTGTTATTTACAAAGCATTTATTAAGTATGTACTATATGCCACGCACTGTGCTAAGTGCTAAGGACACAAAGAAAGGCAAAAATTAGTCTTTGCCCTCAAGGGGCTCACATTTTAATGTATGATACAAAACTTAGAAGTCACAGGTAACTGTTACAGCTGGAAGGGATCTCAAAGATCATCCGGGCCGATTCTCTGATTGTATGGATAAAAAACAAATTACATGACTTTTCCCAAAGTCACATCATTAGTGGCAGAAGTGGGACTGGAATCAAGGCTTCTTGAAGCTTGGCACCGACCTGAGCCCTTCTCTACAAAAAGACTCTTCTTTTTTGGAAGCAATTGGGTTAAGCGTCTTGCCCAGGGTAACCCACTAGGAAGTGTCTGAGGTTGGATTTGAACTCAGGTCTTCCTGACTCTAGGGCTGGTGCTACTATGCACTGTACTACCCAGCTGCCCCCAAAAGATTCTTTTTGAAATATGTTGGGAAGAGCTCCAGGAAAGAAGGGTCAGCAATCAGAGTCGTCCTGCTGTTTTTCCTATCCTGAATTTTCGTTTTTCTATCTTCTCAGTTCCCTAGGAAATGTGGGTGAAATTAGGCAGACTGGGAAATGGAAACTGAGGCTGGGGAGACACAGGGAGCAATTGTGTTTTCTGCTCTTGTGTGACCAGCCTTCCCTCTGCACTGCGTTAGAAGATATGTTGGAAAGTGGGTAAAAGTCATTTGGGATGCCATACATATGATTGGCAGTTAGGTGGTACCATAGTACATAGAGCACTAAACTGGAGTCAGGGAGACCTGAGTTCAAATATGACCTCAGACACTTAGTAGCTGTATGACCCTGTGCAAGTCACCTAACATGTTTGCCTTAGTTTCCTCATTTCTAAAATGGGGTGATAATAATACCTACCTTAATATATATACTATACTATAATTATTGTATAATGTATAATATAATGTGATATGATATGATATGATATGATATATGATATGATATAATGTAATGTAATATAATATAATATAACACAATATAACATAACATAACATAACATAACATAACATAACATAACATAACATAACATAACATAACATAACATAACATAAATAATAACATAATATAATATAATATAATACAATACAATACAATATAATATAATAATACCTTCCAGGGTTGTGATCTAATGAGATAATAAATGTGAAATGTTAAGCATAGTGCCTGGCAGATAGTAAAATTTATATAAATGTTAGCTACTATTGTTATTATTACTAATTATAAAAGTTCGTTGGATCATAGCCTTAAAGCCAGAAGGAGTCCTAAAGTTTATATAACCCACCCCACTCAGTTTATAGATGAGGAAACTGAGGCCACCAGAATTTAAATGATTTGTTTAAGCTCATACAAAGGTTGAAGCTAAATCCTTTGATTCCAAACACAATGTTCTTTCCATTGTATCATGGCGCCTCCCTTGGAGGAAAGGGTAGAAAATTGGCAGCCCTATGTTCAGATCCACCTTTGTGTTCTTCCTATCTCTAACTACCTCTCTAAATATTCTCTTCCAAGTGTTCCAGGTTCCAGGGCCTCATCCTTCAATGGGATGGAAATACAGGGTCAGAAGAGGGAGTAGTGTTCATGAGGGTACCTAGTGTCAGATCTCCAACCCATCTGAGCCTTTCACTACCTGGTAAACATGGCAAAGTGTGCAAAGTGGGAAGCAGAGTGCAAACTGCAATGTTCACTTACCTGTGATAGAAAAGAATTTATGTCACACGTCATAAAAGTCAACTGTGCAAAGGTAGCCGGATCTGTGGCATTATACCAAGCTTTCATGTCCTCAAAGTTGTCCTGTGTGACATTACCTTCAGGCAAATCAAATCCATTAGTCAAGGTCAGGATGTTTCTAGAGAGAAGGATACAAACCAGGGAGATTAATAGGCACAATAGTCCCAGATAATATCAGAGCCTTTAATGAAGTCCAGCTGCAGATACACAAAGCAGCTGTGGGGAAAAAAAAAACCTGAATTACTAGGTCCTCAAAAGTATACTTGCGTCAATATAAGTACATATACTTACTATACATATAATTATACTTACTTGTATACTAAATACATTTACTTAGTATATAGCATCCTAGTATGTTGTTTTTCGGTCTTTTTCAGTCACATCCAACTCTTCATGACCCCATTTGGGGTTTTCTTGGCAAAGATACTGGAGGGGTTTGCCATTTCCTTCTCTAGCTCATTTTTACAGATGAGGAAACTGAGGCAAAAAGGGCTAAGTGACTTGCTCAGGGTCACAGTGTAAGCGTCCAAGGCCAGATTTGAACTCATGATGAGTCTTCCTGATTCCTATATGCACTATGGTGCCACCGAGCTGCCACACAGTAATCTAGTCTAGGATACTTGATTTAGAGCCAGAGGGATCTTACAGATCATAGAGGCCAACCCCCTTACAGAAGAGGTAACGGAGGTCCAGAGATTTTAAGTGACCTGTCCAGGGTCATGGAGTTAATAAATGTCTGAAGTTCGATTTAAGCCCAAGTCTTCCTGGTTTCAAGTGCTGATCTGCATTCACTAAAGAGCGTATGATAAGCGCCTCTATCAATGCATGTAACATAATACATGGTCCTTCAAATGCTAGAAACTTTGAGACTACTTACTGAGTGAAGCAGTCATCATATCTCTCTGTGGCCCGGAACCCAATGATGGAATATACCACAGTCGCTGCATACACCGATGTGAAGCCATTGATCACAGAAACAATCACAGAATCCATCTCACAGTTGTTGCTACAGGTCAAGAAACAAATATAAGTACTGATGCAACCTCTGGCTCAAAAGCTTGCAAGTTTGTTTACATGATAATGACATATTTGCCTAGTGATTTAAGGTCCACAAGAGCACTTACATGGATACTCCCCCATCTCCAATACGTCCAGTGAGTTAGGGTCCCAGTTCCAGCACTTACTAATAAACACATACCTGTATGGCCTTACAAACTCTCTGGGCTTCTCTTTCATCATCTTTAAAATGAAAGGGTTAGATTAGATGATTTCTAGGATCTCTTCTACCCTAATCCTGGCATAAGTATTATTAGCCCTGTTTTATAGATGAAGAAATCAAAGCTCAGAGACTGAGCGATGTGTCCAAGGTCACATAACTAGTAAATGGCATGGACAAAACTTAAATTTTTACTGACTCTCAATCCAGAGCTCCGTCCGCAATGCTCCACACTCCTCTCTCTGTGCTGGGACCTCTTCTCCAGGTCAGCTTGAAACTAATGCAGCTTTGAAAACCCCTGGTCCCACCCTCCTCCCCTCCTGGAAGGGCAAGCTTTTGCAAGATCTTTCTGCGTGCTGCTCTGTTGATGAGCCTATCCAAAGCTGAAATCATCTTCAGAGGTTTGCTTTGCCATTTGCTCACTGAAAGCCTTTCCCACGCCCCATTATGACTTTCCCTGTTCCTGGCTTACATTTGGCCCTTGGACTTGGGCTTTCAGCTGCCGTAAATGCCCCACTGAAGTCTGCAGTTTAGGTTTATAACATCCCCTGTGACTTTCTTGTCATTTTTCTAAGATGCTCCTAACTTCCCTGCCTAGAGATTTTGCTCCAAGAGTACGTGGAGGGAGCAGGGGACTACTGATAGAAGGGCCTGGAGTAGGGATGTATTGGAACCAGCTCAAATCAGCTCTCCAGAAAACCTGTGAAAGCCAATTGTTAAATTTTCAGTGTTAGCATTTATACCTCAGAAATTGGCAAAACCTACAAATGAGGGCTTGATTTATTATTTTGTTGTCTAGACTTAAGAAAGCTGGAGAAAAACTGTTAATAAGGTAGTTTAAATTTAAAAGTGTCTTGTGGTACAAATTTTTTTTCCTTGAGCCGGTTGTTAAACACTTGCTAGCAGATCAATGGAAGGGCCTCCAAAGGAGGCCAGGCAAGCAGGGGCAAAATGGCAAGGAACTGGGGGTAAAGCAACACCATGCCTCTCTGAACAAGACCAAATTGGCATCAATATTGTATCATAAAAGTATCGTAAACTTGGGGCTCAGTGATTGCTGGTCTTCAATTTAGGGAACTCAACCTTATTGGCCAACTTGTGCTAGAAAGATAGAATGAAGGGCAATTGTGATGAGCTAAATGTATATGGCAGGTCACGGAGACAAAAACGCTATCGCTCCCTGAGATCTCTTTATCACCTAATCTAAAGAATCCCAAAGTCTTCTGATCTGTTCAGGAACATAGAACAGCTCCATTTCAGTACTGAGGAGACAGGACAGGGAATGTCTGACTAGGAAGAGCATCTCATACATCATTCAGACCATGTTCCCAGGTATTAGAATACTGGTCAGTCATTTTCAGGTGTGTCTGACTCTTCGTGACTCCATTTGGGGTTTTCTTGGCAAAGATACTAGAGTGGGTTGCCATTTCCTTCAGGTCATTTTGCAGATGAGGAAACTGAGGCAAATAAGCTCAAGTGACTTGCCCAGGGTCGCGCAGCTAGACCTCAAAGAAGATCTAATCAAACTCCTTCTCTTTGAAGATGAGAAGATTGAAGAACATGGAGCCTACATGGTTTGAATACAGGATCCAGATGGCTCTGGAGGAGAGAGTGAGGTTGGTGACTTTGCACAACTCTCCCTCACTTAAATCCAATTCACTTGCAAGCCATGACATCACCTTCCTGACGCTGTGGTCCTCTTTGAGAAGAGGCACATGGTTTTGGTGGCAGAGCCACAGCGTAAATCTGTCCTATCCTGAATCCTAGTCAAGTGCTCTTCTTACCATACTGAGATAGCCACCCCAGAGAGAAAGGCTGGAAAGAATTTACGGGCCCGTGGAAATAAAGAGTGGACACACTGCCCCTTAAGTAAATGCTTCTTCTCTCTGACTGGGCATTTGATTGTGAGCTCTGTTAGCATCTGAGGCTAACGGAGAGGCTAATCAATGGAGAGCTTTAGTGTCAAGCCATCCTAACCACAAAATCAGATTGACCACTAGAAGGAACCTCCAAGGCTATCTCATTTGATCCCCTCATTTTACAGATAAGGAAACTGAGGCCCAGATAGGTTCAGTAACTTCAACATGATATTCAGAAGCTTGTACCTGGAAATGATCATGTGTTTTGACATTTGTTCAATTCGTAATAAAAAAGAAAATTTTTTGAAGAAAATAAAACTTCAGCAAGTTCAAATGTGTCCTATTTATCCAAAATAAAGGCAAGGTGTATTAGACCCAGGAGACACACATTCAATTTTAGTAACTGGTGGGTTTCCAATAGGCCTGCAGCATTCCCAGCCCCTAATTAAAGATCTGAATTAGAAGGTTGGCTCTGGGGAGTCATTTAAAGGTTACCTAGAACAGCCTTGTTATTTTGCAAGGGAAAGCCCAGGGACAAGAAGTAGTTTATTTAAGGTTCCACAATAAGTTAATAGCAGAGCTGAGACAAAAACCCAGGTATCCAGAGTCCCAGTCCAGTACCCTTTGGACCCTTCCCAAGCTACAAAGCAATCTCCAACCCTGTCTGTGTGGGTAGGTTAGAAACCTGGCTCTAGAAGGAACTTTAGAGATCTTGTTAAGCAACTTTATTGTTTTAACCTTAGCTGGTCCTTTCTCTGGCTCTCCTGCCCCTGGGGCAGTGCATAGAGCGATGGGCCTGAAGTCAGGAAGATCTGAGTTCAAATCCAACCTCAGACACTTACTATGTGGGTGACCCTGAGCAAGTCACTTAACCCTATTGCCTCAATTTCCTCATCTGTAAAACAGGGATAATAATAGCGGCTACCTCCCAAGGCTGTTGTCAGGATCAAGTGAAATAATAATTGTAAAGCCCCTTAGCACAGTGCCTGGCACATAGAGAGCCCTATACAAATGTTAGCTATTATTATTATTATTGTTATTAGCTCCATGACCTTGGACAAGCACGCAATCTCTGTTGCCTCATTCTCCTCATCTGACAAATAGGGATAATAATAGCATCCACCTCCCAAGGCTGTTGTCAGGGTCAAATGAGGTAGTAATAATAAAATACTTAGTACAGTGGCTAGCACATAGTAAGTGATATATAAATGTTAGCCTTTATTATTATTATCATTATCATTATTAATTCAGTAGCCACCAGGAATTTCTCATCTAGTTAGGGACACCACACATATGAAAAGTTATATAACAATAGAAGACAATGGTAGCCGACATCACAAGACAACATATGACTCATTGCCGAATGAATGGTTTCGGCAATTAGGATCTTTGATTTCAATGGGAAGAGAGACCACTGAGGCTAGTGAAGTCTGAAAAAGTTTCTTTGAGGAATAATAATAATAATATGAATGAATGAATAAAATGAATGACTAACAATTATATAGCACTGTAAGATTTGCAAAGTGTTTAACATATATTATCTCCCTTGACCTGCAAGAAGAGGAGAAAACAGGACTCAGGAGAAGGTAGGATTTGGACAGGTGGAGAAGAGTAGAGAGGCTGTCCAAGTTAAGAAAAATGATAGAGGCAGAGAGCTAGGGAATAAACTGATAATTTTGGCTGGAGCTAAAGGTTCTTTTTTTTGTTTTGTTTTTGGTGAAGCAGTTGGGGTTAAGTGACTTGCTCTGGGTCACACAGCTAGTAAGTATCAAGTGTCCAAGGTCATATTTGAACTCAGGTCCTCCTGACTCCAGGACCAGAGCTCTATCCAGTGTAGCACCTAACTGCCCCTGAAGGTTCTTTCGATGGAGTCTAAAGGGAGACAGCTGGAAAAGTTTCCTTCATGGCTCATCTCAGGTGCCATTTTTTCTGTGGGCCATTGCTGGGTTTTTCCAGTTGACTGTGCTCTCTGTCTCCTTCTTCAAACATTCTTACAGCACTTTGTTTGGACTCTCCTTTGTCCTCGTCCTTTCTTCTCTTGAATCACACTTATCTGCACCTTGGCCATGTTCCTTTTGCCAGCTCCTCACTTCCCTACCACCACCGCCCAAAAGAAGAAGGGTTCTTTGAGGAAAAGAACGTTCCATTTTTGTCTTTGGATCACAAAACAACTACCACAATGTCTTGCATGTAGTAGGCACTTAATAAATGTTTTCAAACCAAATTAAAGGAATATTGGGATAAGATTAGAAAGGGCCATGAATTCCAGCCTATCAAGACACTTAAGGTTTTTGTGTTTGTTTTTTTGTTCGTTTCTAGGCAATGGGGTTAAGTGACTTGCCCAGGGTCACACAGCAAGTGTTATGTGTCTGAGGCCGCATTTGAACTCAGGTCCTCTTGAATCCAAGGCTGGTGCTCTATCCACTGAGCCACCTAGCTGTCCCAACACTTAAGATTTTTTGAGGGTATTATATGACATGATCAGAACTGTGTTTTAGGAAGACCAACTTGGCAGCTATGAACAAAACAATTTATGAGGGTGGAGAATAGAGGCAGAAAGGCCAGATTAGAGGCCACTACAATCATTTGGTTTTGAGATAGTGGGAGTCTGACCTAAACCAGTAGCAGTAGGAATGAAAAGAAAGGTACAGATAGGAGAAACATGGGGAAGAAAGACTAGGCAATAGTTGTCCACTGATTAGATTTTGTGGGAGAGGGAGATAGAGAATAAATATTGAGAATTAAGCATTGATGTCTATTTACTAAAGTAGATCCTCTGAAGACCTCTACTAGGCAAATTTTTTTCTTGGCTTTGCATATGCTAATATCAAGGTATCAAAAGTTACAATATTTTATGTCCTTGAAAGTAATAAAACTACATTTCTCTCTAAATATTGTATAGTTTAGATTACAGGGGTGGGGAACCTGCAGCCTTGAGACCACATGTGGCCTTCTAGGTCTTCAAGTGTGGCCCTTTGACTGAATCCAAATTCATTCAGTCAAAGGACAACACTTGAAGACCTGGAGGGCCACATGTGGCTTCGAGGCCACAGGCCCTACCTCTAGCAGAAGAATCTCTCCCAGTTCACTAAAATAGTAGGGTTTTTACTAAACTAATAATTTATGAAACATTCATACTTTTAAAGGGCTTTCATATGCACTCCTTTTTGTCTTACTAATAAACACCTTGAGGTAGGTACAGGAGTTGTTATTATCTCTGTTTTACAGAGAGAGAGAAACAGAGGCTGAGAGTATTGAATTAATTTGTCCAAGGACTCTTTCCAGCTGACCTCTCATACAGGGAACCAAATATCACTTTTCCTTTGTGTTGAATACCTACTGCACAGAATTGTAACTGGAGAAGGAAATGAGGCCTCCGAAGGCCAGAGAGAATGAGTAGAACACCTGGGCCCCAGCATCCAACCAGGTGCTTGGATTAGCTAGTTCTGTGACCTGTGGAGCCAAATAAAAAAGAATTAATCCTGTCCTGGGTTCCCAAAGTGGGCAATACCACCCCTTGGGGGCACTGATGGTGGAGGGGAGTACGGTAGTAGCCTTGGGTGCAATTGGGTTGGGGGGGCAACGAATAAAAATAAGAGGGTGGTAAAAGCATAAGGAAAAAAGAGAAGAGAAGAAAATTTTGAGAAACCATTCATACATGTTTCATCTACTGTGTAATAGAGTTAAGTTGTAGTAATTACATTATTTTCCAAATAAACACATAAAATGCAAGTTATAACCAATCAGTGGTCAAGTCCACTGACAGGTGTTAACAAGTAAGTGTTGGCAGGCCAGTGTGTTGCACATTGTCAGGAAGTCCAACATGCATCAGCAGGAATGCATGCATGTAATGACTGTTTACAATACGATGCTATATGGTTACATGACACAATATTGCATCATCAAAATTTCAATGCAGAGAAAACCCCACAAATTTACAATAAATTATTAAATTTAAGATGTATTTTTTAAAAAATATTTTTTGAAATGACACATTTTTTTAAACCGTTAAAGGGTTAAAGAAAGTAGATTTTCAGGGGGGGCATTGAGTATTTTTTTAAAAAGGGGGTGGTAGACCAAATAAATTTGGGAACCTCTTCTGTAGCTCAATAACTTAAGGTTACCATCCTCCATCTCTCCCTTTTCTGCCTCATAGGGAAGTACAGTCTTCCAATAACACAGGAGAAACCAAGAATCAGGGGATGTTAATGGATTTCATGGAATTTAAACATCAGTTCTTTCCCCAGTGTTGGGGTCCAATTTGCTTTTATTGATAATGTTTGCTTAGCAAATAAGCAAGCTGTACATGTGGTTGGGAGGGGGTAGGAAACATACAGGTCTTTGTGGATACAGTCAGTACCATTGATGTAGACTGCTGAATGTTTTGATAAGCCTGAAGATAGTCTGTAAAATTCTTGGAAAGTCTCAGAACATCTGTGTAGAAGCTGTCTTCTGCACTAGTAATAGCTTTTGTTTCACTACATAGGGACTAAAAGTTAAGCTCTCATCTAACTTTGCACAGTTTCCTCTTTAAATGAAGAGGACAAAGTGCTATTAAAAATGTGAATGGAGAAAAAAACTGAGTGACTCTTGAGAAGTTTTTATAAAGTTTAAAAGGGATATCTTGTAAATTGGATGGATGATCTAATCACTCCCTTTAGGAGATGAGTAATATTTATCATATTATATTATACATTATATAATATTGTACATTATAACAACATATTATAACATAACATATTACAACCCATTATGACATATTATATTAATTATATTATAAATAATATGTCATGAAGGTAAATAGCAGCTGGGCCGCTGGCTAGAATATATCCCATTTGCCCTAATTAGTTCTTATTTTTTTTCCCAGTGAAAAAAATGTCCTTATCATTGAAATCATAGGTTTTTTGAAAGTACTACATAATAACAGTCACCCTTTCAAAACACTTTGGAGGATTAAGAGTGCAGTTATGATTACATGCCTTCTTGTTTGGCTTTCAAAACAACCCAGAATTGGGTGGTAAGTATTTGGGCCTCCATTTTCTTTAAATATGAGGAAAATGAGGGTCAGAGAGATGAGCTGACTAGCCTCGGGTCATAACAAGTAGTTGACCCAGAACTTGAATTCTTGTCTTCACTTTATCATATGCAACCATGCTGAAATAACGTGTGTTTGAAATTCCTTTCAATTACCAAAGTCTAGCTAAGGTATATTACAAGGAATTTGATGTTAAAAACCCAACATTCCATCTCACAATCCACTGCAAATACCCCAGGATTACCATCAGGAGGTGGTAGTTTGATCAAAATCCTTAAATCCCCAAAAAAGAAATAAATAGAAGCCCTAAATGGTCCCAGTAGGACTGTCCACATTAGACCATCCCTAGATGTGTATGGGGAGCATCTAGATGGTAAATTGAAGAGAGAAGACAAAATGTACCGATTGGCTGTAATTTAGATATGGAGACTTGGTCTCACTGTGGATTACGTTTGAATCAGAAAATAGAGCCTGGGTCCAGGATTTAACATACTCAACTATATTTCTTAGTCCCACTGCTAGCAGTATTCTAGAGCAGACAAACGTGCTTACGTTGGGTGTGAAGAGGAATTCAATTCCCTTGGTGGCCCCCTTCAGTGTCAAGCCACGGATAAGGAAGATGGTCAAGACAATATAAGGAAGGGTTGATGTGATATACACAGCCTGAAAGGAAAGTGAAGCTGTATTTTAAAATGTGTGAAAATAGAACCAAAATACTTTATCACAAGGAGCTCTGTTCCAGCTCCTTTTGATTCCTATATTACCTTTTGATTCTAGATAGAGAATAATTTATCTAATAAGAATGAAAATACAGTTGCCAAGTTTAGCTCTGAAATACATCTTGTATCCATTCCCTTCTCTCCACTCACACACCCACCACTTTAGTTCAGACCCTTACCACCTCTCTCCTGGACTATTGTAAAAAGCCTCCTAACTGGTCTCCCCACTTTGATTCCCTCTCTTCTCCAATCCATTTTCCTTCAGCTGCCAAATTAATATCCCTAAAGTAAGGTCTGATCAGGTCACTATCCAATTCAAAAAGCTCCAGGGGCCCCCTTTTACCTTTAGGATAAAATACAAGCTACTTGGTTATTTAAATCCCTTCACAGTCTGCTTCTAGATAGAGAGCATCATGGAAACAATGAACTTGAACTTGGACAGACTTCAAGTGATAGTGGAGGGTAGAAGGGCCTGGCGTGCTCTGGTCCATGGGATCACAAAGAGTCGGACACAACTGAACAACTGAACAACAACTAGTTTTTCCAGGTTATTGCACATGAATATCTTTCACACACTCTTCAGTTTAGCCAGACTGTCCTGCTTAGCGTTTCCTGTATATAACATTCCACTTCCTGTCTCCATCCCTCTGTATGGGCGGTGCCCTTGGCTGGAATGCCCTCCCTTCCTTCTTATCTCTCTCTTAAAGGATCCCTGGGTTCCATCAAAGCTCAGCTCTAGCTCCATATTCTTTCCTGAAGCCTAATTCCAAAACCACAGTTTTGATACTCTCCCCCTTTACTCTGTATTTATTGGGCATATTTTTTTGTATTTATGGGTCAGCCTGTTTCCTCTCCTTACCTTCTTGAGGTAAGCTTGATATCCCCATTGTGCCTGGTACATAATAGATACCTAATAAATACTCTTTATATGACTGAATGAAGGAATGAACACAAATTTGGAGTGGCTTAGCAGCAATTATTTTGGGGAGGTTTTTTTTTTTAAAGGTGTCATTTCTCAGCAGCATTCACCAGAATGGAATTAATTCCATCTACCCTTATTCTGAGTAGCAAAGCAAATATAAGTTAGATGACCAGATGTCTGGGTTGGCCAGGGGCATACAAATTTTTTTTTTATGTCCTTCTCTGAATGGACATGTGTCTGGGAAAAACTAGCAGCTTGCAAAGGCACTTGAATTACCAACAAATAGTATAATCCTGAAGTATTTTGTAAATTACTGCAGAGAAATGAAAAGGGCTAGTTTTATATATATATATATATATATATATATATATATATATATATATATATATAATATATATATATATATATATAATATATATATATATATATTATTATATATATATATATTATATATATATATATTTATAATATATATATATAAAAGGTCATATAAACAAGCAATGTACAGTTTCATAGAAGGACTTGGATCAAGGAATTATTTCTATGTAGGGAAGGGAACAAGTGTTTATTAAATACCTACTATGTGCCAGGCATTATGCTAAGCACTTTACAAATATTATCTCATTGATTCTAACAACCCTGTGAGGTGCTATTATTATTGCCATTTTACAGATAAGGAAACTGAGGTGAACAGAGGTTAAGTGACTTGCCCCAGGTCCCACAGCTAGTAAGTGTCTGTGGTTGGATTTTGATTCAGATATGGGCCCAGAGCGCTATTCACTGCACGTTCTCTAGCCCTATTAATCTGTCTTTGCCAGGAGTCTACATGGATCCTTTTTCTTGAGGACACTAGACTTGGAATCAGGATGATCTTAATTAAAGTCCTACCACCCCCACCCCTCACCCCCAAATAACTGGCTGTGTGATTCTGGGCAAGTCACAATATTTCTCAGGCTCAGTTTCTTTATCTATAAAATGAGGATAATAATGACACTGACATCATAGGGTTGTTGTACAGGTCAAATGGGATAATATAATGTAAAGTATTTTGCAAAACTTAAAGTATTATATAAGCATTCACTGCTAGTAGTAGTAGCAGTAATAGTATTAGTAGTAGTAGTAGTAGCAGTAGTAGTAGTAGTAGTAGTAGTAGTAGTAGTAGTAGTAGTAGCAGTAGCAGTAGCAGTAGTAGTAGTAGTAGCAGCAGTAGTAGTAGTAGTAGCAGTAGTAGTAGTAGTAGCAGCAGCAGTAGTAGTAGTAGTAGCAGTAGTAGTAGTAGTAGCAGCAGCAGCAGTAGTAGCAGTAGTAGTAGCAGCAGCAGCAGCAGCAGCAGCAGCAGTAGTAGTAGTAGTAGTAGTAGTAGTAGTAGTAGTAGTAGTAGTATTCCCCATTAATTCTAGATTAACCAGGATTCTGTGTTGTTCATTTCTCTTGAGGGAATGTGGAGTAGTGGATAGGGCACCAGACTAAGAGTCAGGAAGACTTGAGTGCAGATACCACATCAGGCACTTACTAGCTGTGTGAACATAAGCAAGTCACTTAGACTCTCTGTCCCTCTGTGTCTCCATCTATAAAATGGATAGAGTGCTGGACTATGTCAGGAAGACCTGAATTCAAATCCTCCCTCCATCACTAACTACCTATAGGGCCCTGGACAAGTTACTTAATCTATTTGCCTCAGTTTTCTCAAATGTAAAATGAGGATAATAATAGCTCCTACTTCCCGGAGTTGTTGTGAGAATAAAATGGATAACATTTGTCAAATGCTTTACCAACCTTAAAGCGCCATATAAATGCTAGTTAATATCATTATCATCATCACTCAAAGTTGCTTTCCACTCCCTGTCTATGATCCCATGATCTTTCCCTAACTTACAGGCTGAAGTTTTAAAAGAAGTCATACTTACTCCTTCCACCCTTTCCTTTCTCTCCCCCTAGCCCAGCCATCACACCAATGACTTTAAATCTGAATACCTTTCCAGTTGTTTCAATGCCCCTGATGGTGCACACATAAAGGACACTCCAAGCACATGTCAAACACAGCAATATCCACCACTGAATATATCCTGAGTCGTCAATGCTGGTAGAAATATTTAAAGTTTCTCTATACCAAAAATAATCCACTGGAGAACTCTTGGCACATTCCTCTACATAACCTGAAATGGGAACAAAACAGTGTTTAGTAAATTTTCTTATATTGGCTCTGCAGTGAGTGAATTAATTGGAAATTAATAATAATATGGGTAGCTTTTCTATTTGGAAGAAGCCACTGGCCCATCATCGAAGACTTAGAAGAGCTGCTAGGAACTGGTTTCCTGGAAGACTCTTTGGTCAAGAAAAAAGAGGTCTAAGGGCAGCTAGGTGGCATGGTGGATAGAGCATGAGTCAGGAGGACCTGAGTTCAAATCCAGCCTCAGATACTTTCTAGCTGTGCAAATCTGGTCAAGTCACTTAACCCCAACTGCCTCCTAGCCCACCCTGCCAAAAGAAGAAAGATCTAAAGACAAAGTAAGATGCAGATCTATTTTTTTCACCTCCTTTTTCATGGCTCTTCAGACCTTTCAGTGCACACAGGAGGAAGCAAACCACTTTAGACTGAAGAGAAAGGCTTTATGTCAATTTATCTACACTGGAGCCTTGCTATGAGATGACTTTTTAGTAGTTAGGGGTATGAACAGTAATAAGTCCCTTCAAATAGGGTGCAAGACAAGGATCTCATGCCGAATTCTGTACTCAGTTGGGTCGGCGGAGTGAAGCCTGGGGGCATGATCATGAAGGATAATTTCAAAACCATTTAAAGGAGCTAAAGTTCTCCAGAAAATGCCACACTCTTGCAAACTACCTGATGAACAGGGCTTCAAAGAGAAGTTTTGAATAAGCAAGTACTACTCTGATGTGGATTGAAATAAAGAGATTAACTGCTCTATACTTAGGAAGGAGGTGGGTGCTTCCTTTCTGAAATTCTGCGGGTCAGGGACTGGCTCAGTTAATTTGCTTTGCTCGATATGTAGCACAACCACAAACCTTTCATACTTGCTCGTAAACTAAGATCATCCAGTTCAATAATCTAACAATCATATGTTAGGTGCCTACTATGTGTCAGACACTGCTGGGTGCATACAAAGATGGAAAACAGTCCCTGTCCTCAGGAAACTTATAATCTCCTCCTCTTAGCCTTAATAACACTTATTTCTAAAGCACTTTTAAGGCTCACAGAATATCTTCATTACAATATGCTGTGAGGAAGGTAGTGTAAGTATTATTATGCCCATCCTTTCAGAGTTTCCCCAAACTTATTTGGCCTACTGTTCCCTTTTAAAAAAAATTACTCAACTCCCCCCTGGAAATCTACTTTCTTTAATTTTTTAATATTTTTTTAAAATTGGCATCATTTAAATGATGCACCTTAAATTTGATAATTTGTTGTAAATTTATGGGGTTTTTTTCCTGCTTTGAAATTTTGATCATGATCACATTGTAAACAAGTTGTCACATGCACATATTCCTGTTGAGGCATGCTGGACTTCCCAACAATGGGAGACATGCTTGTTTGTCAACACTTATTTGTTAAGATCTGCTGGTGGATTTGACCACTGATCAGTTATAACTTGTATTTTGTGTGTTTATTTGGAAAATAATGTAATCACTACAGCTTTAACTCTGTTACACAACAGATGAAACATGTACTAACGGGTTTTCAAAATTCTCTTCTCTTCTTTCCTCATCCTTTGACCACCCCCTTATTTTTATTCAATGCCCTCCCCAATTTCACCCAAAGCTATTATGGTTGCAGTGCCCCAAAGGGGCTGCCATAGACCACTTTGGGAACCTGTGCTTAGATGGACAAACTGAGATACAATGAAATTAAGCCATTGGCTCAAAGTTATACAGCTAGTAAGTGGTAGAACCGAGCCCGAACTCGCACACTTAACTACAGTACCAACTTGCCTCATAAAAATCTTCATTTCAAGCTGTGATTCCATCTGGAAATTTATGGAGGAAGGAAGCAGGGTGCAGTGGAAAGGACACTTGATCTAGGATCAGAGTTCCTAAATTTAAATTCTGGCTCTGCTACCTGTGTGATCTTAAGCAAATCAATTATTTCTTTGGGCCTCAGTTTCCTCAAATGGGGGATTGGATTAGATGACCTTTAAGGTCCCATCTAGCTCTAAAACTATGATCCTATGACCTCAGACTTTTTCCTCATTAAGATGTGATTTTTTTTTAAAGAAAGCACACACACACACACACACACACACACACACAGAGAATAGCTACTTCATTTTATGTTGATATCAGATGTACCCTACTTTAAGCAAATCTTAAATTCCAAAACATACACTCATGAAATTGAAAAGTTAAGGACTAATAACAACAATAATGATAATGATAATAACTTGCATTTGCATACTGCTTTAAGTTTGCAGAATACTTTGCATGAGTTATCTAATTCTTCATATAAAATGGAAAGTATTTCATTAAAAGACAGACTCAGCAGAGGATTCCTTCAAATAACAAACTCCCATTTTAGCTCCCTCTGCTTGATGCATTTCAGGTACACATTTGGTTTCTACACCAGTTTTCCCATTGTGCAGTTCCATTCGTTAAAATGACACACAGTTGCATTCATCATAGAAAACCAAGTTGTGATAGAATAGCCCTGGTTAATACCAAAGGCCCTGGCTATTACCTGTTCTGTTTTGGTTGAGTGGGCAAGTACTCCAAGGCAAGGGTTCTTGGAAAGAGTTGAAGAAGTACCACATGACCCAGGCAATGATGGTGTTGTAGTACAAGCCTACCATAAAGGAGACAAACATGGAGGCAATGCCTAGAGGGTAAGAGGAAGGGTTACTGTGATTTACAAGGAAATGTATCCACTTCAATTCAAATAAGCAAACATTTACTAGATACTAGCTACGTGTAAAGGCACTGTGCCAGGCAAATGAAGGTTATTTACTTAAACCTAACGCATAATCTCCCTTTGACAGTCAAAACAATGATAAGGTGGTATTTGACCTCTGAGATACTATACAGGAAAAGGTACATAATATATAAGGTATCCTAAAAGTCTTAGTGCAGTTTTAAGTCATTAAAGCCTAAAACTGTACTAAGACTTTTGGGACACTTTATACATTTCAGATATTTAATAGCTTTTTAAACATATATATATAAATTTATGTTGTCTTTTGCTTTTACATTGCCTAGGTTTCTTCCATATCCTTTCCTCTCCTCTCTCCCAGAGATCCATCCTTTATTGCAAGGAATTTTTCTAAAGAAAAATCAGTAAAACCAATCATTGCTAGTGAGTCAATAAACATTCATTAAGTATCTACTGTGATAGGCACTGTGCTAAGCACTAGGGCCACAAAAAGGCAAAAGACAATCTCTCTCTCTCTAGGAGGTCCTAGTATAATGGGGAGACAGCGTGCAAACAGCAATGTACAAACAAGTCTATACAGGATGAATTAGAAGTAATCAACAAAGGGAAGGCACTTATATTAAGGGGTATTGGGAAAGGCTTCCTCCAGAAAGAAGGATTTTAGCTGAGACTTGAAGAAAGCCAAGAGACAAAGATGAGGAGCGAAAGCATTCCAGGCATAGGGGACAGCCTGAGAAAATGCCCATAGCCTAGAGATGGAGTGGCATGTGGGAGGAATGGCAAAGAGGTCAGTATCACTGGTGTGTGTGTGTGCATGCGTGAGCATATGTGCGCACGTGTGTGTGTGTGTGTGTGTGTGTGTGTGTGTGTGTGTGTGTGTGCATAAAGTTGGAGGGGGCCAGGTTATCACATTGAAAAAATCTGATTTTTGCAATATTTTACCACGATGGGTTCCAACCTCCACAATATTGGCAAGAAGGATTTTCTCATATCTCTTCTGTGGGGTCAAGCTTGTTCTATGACAATTTACAATAGGAGTACAAGTCAGTTTCTTCTGTGGTAAGAAGGGTAAGCAAAGCCAATTTCCCTAAAACACCAAGAAGGTAGACCTTCATTGCAAAATAAGGATACAATCAAACTACTAATCAAATTAACTTGGAGATGGGGAAGGAGGGAGCCAGTGTCAAAGGTATGAATTATAGACTAAAAAGGATCAGTTTTATTATGTTGCATTATGTGTAATAGTTCTAATTAGGCTAAAAATTATTGCGTACTTGTAGTTTTTAGGAAACAGTTTTTAAGAATTCATAATTATAATTTATAATTAGAACATCTATCTATATATGGATATATATCTCCATATATATATATATATATATATATATATATATATACATACACACACACAACACACACACACACACACACACACACAACACATATATATATATATATTGGTGCTGCCATAGAATCCTCTTCTCCCAAAGCCCCCAGGTATGAAAAATTGAATCATTTTTAATGCTTTCTTTTCTCTTGCTCCCATAGTCTATTTGTCCCAAAGTGCTCTTCCTTTTAATGTTTCTCACATCCATCCCTTCTTTCGCATTCTCATTGCTCCAACTCTAGTTCAGACTCTCATAACTTCCTACTGACTCAAGTCTCCTGACTGGTCTTCTTGCCCCACTCCAAATTACCCGGCATATCACTGCCATATCAGTCTTCCTAAAGAGTTGCTCTCATCATATCATTCCCCTATTCAGATGCTTTCAATTGCTCCTCATCACCTTTAAGATCAAGAATAAAGTACCACTCTAGTTTCATCTTCTTCCTTGGCTCCTCCACAATAACTTATTTACTTGCTGTCCCCCAAACACGTCTTCCCCATCCTAACATACATTCTTTCTTAGAGCTAGTCCACTTTCCTGGAATATCCCTCCTCCTCTGTTCTTTGTGCTTAGATTCCATTCATTCTTCTAAGTCTCCCCTTACCACCCTTCCGCACAAAGATCCCACCTTCCTCTGAATTCCCACCGCATTGCTTGGACTATAGCAGAAGTGTCAGACTCAAATAGAAACAGGGCCAGTAAACCAGACAGAAGGATCCCTCAGGATGCATGCTGACTTACAAAATCACACGTTAACATTATCTTATGTTTCATTGTGTTTTTATTTATTTTGTGAAGTATTTCTCAGTAACATTTTAATCTGGTTTGAGCTGCAATTGGGGAGCGCTGGGGGCCAGGTCGTGTGTTTGACACCTTTGGTTTAGACTATCCTTTGGGTACCTATCATACATTCTCTTACATTGTTATTTATCTTTTCATATCAGAACCTAATATGAAAAAATGGTCTAATCTCTAAATTTACAATCCCATGACAATGAATGTAGCAACCATTTACATTTTATGAATGATTTTTTATTATATGTTTCAGATGTGCTTGTAGTTATAAAAATTGTAAGATCACAAGTTCATAGCTTCAGAACCCAAAGGGACAAATCAAGCAAAAAATGTTATTTGTTCATTTGGAGGTATCCATGCTTTAGCTCCACAAAACCTGTCTTACCTTTCCCCACATGATTTCCCTTGAAGAACTTTACATTCCATTCAAACTAGGCTATGAGCTTGTCCCCAGACTTAACATAGTCCTCTGTACATTCATGCAGACCACCCTTAGTTCACTTTGTCCTCACCTATGACTTTTACAATCTTTCTCTTCTCTCAAGGCTTAGCAGTCCCCTCCATCGTGAAGGAGACTTCACCACACCCCTTATCCTCAGAGTAAAAGTAATCTCACCTTCAGATCTCCCCAGAACATTTTATCTGACTTTCTTCTTCCTCCTTATCACAGTCTACTTCGTACATCTGTGCACATGTAATACCTCCTATCCCTCACTTCCTATCCCTCCTCCCAAACCCTCACCAGTAGTATAAGCTTGAGGGAGTTGGGTATTACGTTCTCAGCATTAAGCACAGTGCTGTGCACTCACAAGATTCTTAGCAAATGTTGAATCTTGAGTCAGAGCTTAGGCCCATCCTGTTGCTGAGACACAGGGCCTATGTATGAGAAACAAATGCCTCTACCTGGAACAATGAAGCGCTGCTCTTCCTTCAAGTTATTAATCAAAAACTGCCTTTGTATTGGATGAGCATGTCTATTATTTTTTTTCTATTGAATGCTACTGTTGGGCACATGCTTTGTATTCTGGGGAATTGATGATCCATTCCATTAATGAAGGGGACAATGAATTCTTGCACAGGTTTTATAACTATTTAAATCTTAATGGAAAAATCAGCAAACACGGAGGCCAAAATTAGACTCCCTGGAACAGTTCAAGACAGGGCTAGATGGCTGTCAGGAACATTTTGAAGGGGATTCCTGAACCATACGAGGCACTGGGCCAGATGACCTCCAAGGTTATCCCCAACATATGTATTAAGTATCTACTGTGGGCAAGGTATTCTTGATTACTGGGTCATCAGTACCACCAGATACCTGGCAAGGGCAGCATCATGCAAATATGTTGTTTGGTTTGATTTTTGACATCCCAAATAAAAGCAAACTCACACAGTCACCCTGAAGAACACCTAAAATTGGTCCTTCTAATCAAAGCATAAAGTATTTTGCACAGTCTAAGAAATGCAAGCATGTAAGACTGAACGAAGACAATAATCAGATTCTGCTTTGGAACAGTACATTGAAAACAAAAGCTACAGGGTCAAAGTTTGCTTCATGGCCACATTCCCCCTTTCCTTGACCTGTTAAGCCCATTTTGAGTTCTAATGACTTACCTACTCCCTTAAGGGCAGGATGGATAGAGCTCCAGACACCAACGCTGCCCCTCCTTAGCCTTTGTCCAATGGCGAACTCCAGAAAAAGCAAGGGGACACCCTCAAGGACCAGCAGAATGAGGAATGGGATCATGAAAGCTCCTAGAATTGAAAAAGAAGCCAGATGAATATTTCTGATGCTAGAAAAACGGTATGAAAAAGACACCTGGTTTGGGGTCTGGAGATTCTTTGTAAGTCAGTTCTTTTAGCATTTCCTGTAAATACTAACTTTAGAAAGGAGCCACATTGTAGCAACAAGAAAGAAAATATGTTGTAAAGCATCAGGGATCATAGGATCATGGACCAGAGTGAAAAGGGACCTCAGAGGCCGTGGAGCCCATGAAGTTTTGTTATACAAATGAGGAAATTGAAGCTTAGGGAGGTTATGTAATTTGTCAGGGGCAAGATTTGTAGCCAGGTCTTCCAGCTTCAGGGAAAATGTGCTTTCTACCAAATCATGATGCTGTTTAGCCAATCAATCAACAAATATTTATTGATTACCTAAAGTTATCCCTTCCACATCACAATTTTCCCCATCATGGTTTTGATATATTGCAGGACAGCATAAGAAATTAAACGGGAATTTGGGGGGAGTTTTGCAGAAGCCCAGGATGACACATGAAGGCCAGTAGGTGACACACAAAAAGTTTAGAAATTCAGAAATGCATAAAATATATGTATAGTATTGTAGAATATCAACATATTTTATCTTTTAATACCCTAAATATACACAATTTCTTTTTTAAAGTTGAAATAAGTAAAAAGCTAAAGTGTGTGAAAAGAAAGTGAAAGCCAGCAGACAACACACAAAAGCCCGTACGTTTTACGTGGATTTTCCATTTGGGGAGCGGCCCTCACCACACGCTTAATCCTGCAATATGGAAAGAATAACTGTACTTTGTGTCAAGTATTATGTACCTGCAAAGTAGCATAAAGCATGATCTCTGCTCTCTAGGAGCATAAAATTTAGGTGGAAGGATACAATGAAAACATAAGATCACAGATCACAAAATTGAAAGAGACTTCAGAGGTCATGTAGTCTATCTTTGCCCCTCTCTTCCATTTTTCAGATAAGGAAACTAAGACCTAGAATGATAAATGACTGGTCTGAAGTCACACAGGCAGTGGGTGTAAAGGTAGGATTTGAACCTGGGTCTTCAAGCTCCAGACCCAGCACTCATTCTCTTAAACCACATTGCCTGCCTTCTAAAATAACATGAAGAGTTAACAGCAGAGTTAAATGAAATGATGTCAATACAAGAGACATCCCTGGGTGGCTCCATTGTCAATAGGTATAAACAATGAGTGCTATTATGAGTTCTAAGAGTAAATAACAAAAAATAGCTATTTTAATCTGGAAAGGCTTTACAAAGATGCTGAGATTTGAGTTGGGCCCTAAAAGATGTATTAGTTTTGAAAAGGTGGAAAATTACTTTAAAATGTTTCCTAAAACAATATAATTTGCTCTTTTCCTTTTCAACTCTGGGCCCTGCTCACTGTCCATCTTTATTGTCTGTTACAGATATACATGTGGTTGAAAACTGAATGAAATCTGAAAAATGGATGGTTCTTCATCCATTTGGTCTTTCCTGTGTGGGTGGATGGGTCAAACTCTTTTGAGTGACTGATTACTGATATCTTCAAGGAAGCTCTGCAACATCTTGGGGCTTGATGCAATCCATACAATGTCATGAAAAACCAGAGCACCTGGAGGACTCGCCATCCACAGGGAATCCTTCTCCCTTTGGATTAGGCACTGGGTTTCTCCTATCACAGTGGTGAATATTTCTGGCAAGCATACATCTATCTCCCTGTTCTGTACATTACTTGGCGCTTATTGTCAGAGCCATTGAACAGGATTATTTCTGATCTCCAAATCATATGGTAGAGTTTCCTGTAGTCAGCTAATTCTATCCATGATATATGGATGCTTGTTAGCATATGTATTGTTAAGAACCACCATGATCCCCTAAACTAATTAGCTATGATATGTAATAGTCTTTGGATTTTTTTAAATCCCAAGCAGAAACAAACAGTATGCTTTCACATTTAGATTTGTACCACTATCATGACTTCTCTACAATGACTTTGAAGCCAATTTCAACAAACAAATTGAAAAAAATCAAGAATATATCTACTAGTCCATTCATTTAGTGAACATTTATTAATTCGGTTGAACTTTTAAAATTTGAAACGAGTATACCTCCCTATGTCAGAGGGAAATTATGTTTCAGTTATGATCTGGCAAAGGTTAGAATGTTAATATTTAGCAAATGCTTCTAAAACCTTGTCAGCTGTATATGAGTATCATGAGGACCATATCAGGATTAAAGTTCAGTCATTCCCTGGTGCAACAGAGTGATAAACATTTCCAAATACATAACTTAAATGGTTTTCTGTGGACTCAAGCATTAGGACTGGTCCTAATCTTTGATGAGGAAACTACAGGGCTTTGCTTTGCTTGTTTATTCACACACCATTGATTTTAGATAACTGTTTGGCAGGGAATTTTTTTCTTCATCTCAGCATATTTGGTTGAAAGGTTTGAGTTGAACCACAAGGTAGCAATGATTGCTATACCTTTTCCCTTACCTTTATAAATCATTCAAAGAGGTTGTTGAGGGGTCTGGCACATATACAGTGCCTGGGACAATATCTCTCTACATGGAGAAGCTGAGGAGCTTACTTCTAGGAGAGTCATAATGAACACAAGTAAAGGGAGGCTTTAGAGAGACTGTATAGGCATCCTATAGAACTGGTCCTGGTCTATTTACAGAAGGCTCTTTGATCAACTATTAAGACAGTCAAAAGCCTTTATCTATCTACCATTTATCCAATGAGAGACTATAATGGAAGAGGCCCTGAGGTTTTCTTCCCTCTGAAGACATACGACCCTAAGAAATGTCTTACTTTTTGGCCTCTACATTTATTGTTCTCCATTCTCTGGTGAAGGGAGTAAAATCTCTGACCTTAATAGGTTTGAAAAGTTAGGAGAGAGGCCCAAAGAAATCTAGGAGTTGGAGGTCAGGCCAAGTTGTATAGCCAGACCAGCACTGATTCCCAAAAAGTACGAAGCGACCTTTTGGGCCTACACCAGTGGAGGCTGAGATAAGGGTTCATTCACCAGTCATGCCACATCAGAGGATGAATTGGTAGAACCAATGTGATGTAGAAAGTAAGCTGAGTGAGTCTTCACTCAGTCTTCTCTCCCCCATAGGTTGTGTGGTTTGTCCTTCATTCTTGAGGAGGACCATGACCTCAGGAAGATCATGCCGTCACTTGAAGTCAATTGGATTTAAGTGAGGGAGGGCTGTGTAAAGTCACCAGTCTCACTTTCTCCTCTGGAGCCATCTGGGTCAAGTGGCCAGATGTAGATCAGGACAGCTGAAGATGGCCCAAGACAGAGGAGAATATGAACCTGAAGCATTGGGAAAAGAAAAATTTGTACGTTTGTTCTTGTTATATCTTTGATATAAATATCTCTTTGCAAAAGCTAATTAATATTGGGTGTTTAAATGGAACTGATACACTAGTCACTGATACTTCTTAACTGTTGGGGGTAACATAGCCATTAGGAGCTCAAACTAATGGTAGTAGAGAATTTGTTGGACATTTTAGTCATGTCCAACTCTTCGAGACCCCATTTGGGGTTTTCTGTTTGCCATTTTCTTCTCCAGCTCATTTTTACAGTTGAAGAAACTGAGGCAAATAAGGTTAAGTGACTAGCCTAGGGTCATACAGCTAGTAAGGGTCTGAGGTTTGGATCTTCCTGACTTCAGAGCCAATGCTCTATCCACTGTACCACCTAGCTGCCCCAACCTTCATATATTTAAAACCACCTCCCAATCTTGTATTAACTGAGGTAGCTCCAGAGAACAGAGTGAGGCTGATGACTTTGCACAGCTCTGCCTCACTCAAATTCAATTCATTTGCAAGCCAAGACATCACCCTCCTGACATCATTGGTCTTCTGCAAGAGCAAAGGACTACCAACAATGAACAATAACAAACAGTCCTATATGTACACATCGACTCCCTCAATAGAATGTAAGGTCCTTGGGGATCCTTTCATTTTTTTCTTTGTATCCCGCAGCACCTAGCTCCTGAAACATAGTAGGCATTTAGTAAGAGCTTGTTGAATGACTTTTGTGCCATAAGTTGGGGTCAGGATGGAGAAGAGGAATAGTGTACAAAGTAGACTGCCTTTGAGATGTCCCACAGTGATTTTGATGGCTATGAACTGTTCCCTGGTGTCAGCTTTTCAACACGAATGGTCTCCCAGTGATGATTCATGGTTGGAAATCTAAGACCAACACAACCTTTGGTGAATTAAAATCGTGGGAATTTGTGGGAATTAATCCCCCTTGAGGGAACTAAAACTGTATATTTCTAATGACGAGCTATACTCAACAATGGCTTTAGGATATCACTGAGGAAATGTGAGATTAACAAACAATACAGATCAATCGAATGATCCCAAGTAGTCTATTGTATCTTCAAAAATGTAAAAACACTTAGAAGACCTGTTCTTCTAAGCGTGGCTAATTTGTTGGAGGAACTCTATGTAACCCTGAGTGGACAGGACAGTTCCCTCATGAAGACTCTTGTGATGCTGAATGCTGCGTGGGATGTAACTCCTATGTAGCTGAGAGACCTCTGCACTTCTGGTGCTGTGCAAATATGGATAGACTTTAGGGAAGGAAGGGAGAAAGTGAAGTTTGAGAGAGAGGATCTATGAGAGAAGGCCAAAAACGGGAAAGGCTAAGAGGAGTCCTGGAACCACAGACATGTGAGGGAATTTGTCTCCTCAGACAAACTGATTCCCAAGGCCTGCTGAAAGCTCTCTTCCCTAGCTAGATCATTTCTCTTCTTAGCTGATCTGAAGTTATACCTCACTCCTAAGCTGAAGAGCTCATTATCCTAAGCTGTATAACTTCCCCAATTTCTATTTTACTATCACCTTTATAAACATGTTGCTCAATATTCATGATTGTCTTTTGTGTAACCAGTTATTTGTGGAAAAGAGATAGCTGTCTGAGAGTTACCATTATCATCCCTTTTAAAGTGAATAGGCAAAGTTGCTTTTATTCTTAAACCCTAAAA